GGGGGGGCTCCTAGTCCAGCCACATCAGCTGCTTGGGGTCGGCTTGGTCACCTGCCCAGGCACCCCTGCTGTCTGCCAATCAGATGCTTCCTGGCCATTTAGGTTAGAACACAAACAGAAGCCCTTCCTGCCTGAGGGCTGCAGGCCTGACTGCCCACCACTCATGAGACATGGCCGCCCCTGGAGAAATCCTCCGACCCCGGAGCCCAAGGTACCAGGGGAAGCAGAGTGACACGTCCCCCAGCCAGCCAATGCCTTCTCACGTATGCCAATGACACGAGTGAAGTGCCCTGAGTCTCCCCCTCTGCTGGCTCCAGATAGGTGTCTGTCACCTGCACACAGGACTCCTGATGTCCAAGACACCTGTACTGGAACACGGAGCAGGTCCCTGAGTCCTGCCTCAAGGCTCCTGCAGTGGCCCCTGGAGTATCTGCAGTGGCCCCTGGAGCAGCTGTGGTGCCGATGAAGAGGCAAATTCATATAAGTGGAGATGTGCTGGGGGGCGGGGAGAGGAGAGCAGTGGCCTCTCAGGGCCGACAGTAGGGGCAGGAGCTCATGTGGAGGGAGCCGCTGCCAGCTGCGTGGCCACAACAAACAGCCGACGCACTCTCCGTGGTCTTTGAATTGGGTGAGACGTAAAGTGTTTTAAATTTCGCCGATGAAGACTGTCTCTTTTTCTTGTTTAATAGCCATTGCGCTATTCCAGCCACTCCTGGGGCTGGCCCCAGGTAGGCTGACTCTGAGCACTGATCTCTCCTTAGCGCCCCAGGGCCCTGGCTTCTGGTCCTGCCAGCCATGGGGACCCCCCTGCTAGCCAGCCTGGCAGGTGAGACAGAGTCCGACTCAGGGGGGCTGAGCCGCCACCAGCACCGTCTGCAGCCGGGCACCTGCCGTCTCTCCCCACACGCCCCCCGTGCCCATATCTGGAGCCATCCTGGGATCCTCCAAGTTTGGACTGGCAAAGCGCTTGGGAGACCCTCACCCAGCAGGAAATACAGGCGAGGTTGCCTTCCAAGTGAGGGACCCTCAGTACTGCCCCCATGAACTTCAGCTGTGCCATGTGAGCTAGAGAGAGAGAGCAGAGAGACAGATGTCTTCGTTTCATTGAAGGTCAGTTAGTTCTGACTCAGGTTTAGATAACCACATGTAGCTCACAGCAAATGGCACAAAGCCTG